GCAACAGATTTACCTCATGCAACTCAGCTTTTGATTTCTTGAATGATGCTTCCATGGACATTGATTGTGGACATAAACACGACAAAATCCTTTTCTCCATTTATCATTATGTTACCTATTTGTCCCGTTGTGAGGATTTTGTTCTTTTTTTCATTGCGTTGTAATCCATACTGAAGGCTTCAATCCTTGATCTTCTTTAGTAAGTGCCTCAAGTCTTCCTCGCTTTCAGCAAGCAAGGTTGTGTCATCTGTATATCTCAGGGTATTAATAAGCTTTCTTCCAATCCCGGTGCCATATTCTTCTTTATATAAGCCAGCTTATGTGATGATTTACTTAGCATAGCGGTTGAATAAGTATGATGTTGCAAACCTCATTGCATACCTCTCCTGATTTTTAAACCACCCACACAACTGGACTTGGTGATAAAAACAGAGCTGGAGGTCCCATGAAAGAATTTTGCAAAACCAATCATTTGTTCATAACAAATACTTTTTTCCAACAACACAAAAGGTGATCAATAATGTATTAACCCCTTCCCAGAGGAAACTATGTAAAGATAACTAAGATGTTCCTATGAAATTGTTCTTCTTCATTTCCAGATGTAGCAAGAGTAAGTTAAGGGCTTAGTAGTGTCTAGGGCATGATTAAGAGTGCTAAATTGAAGGAGAACATGATGCCAAATTAGGAACATAGTGCCAAATTAAGGAAGAATATGGTGCCAAATTATTTTAAATAACATTATGGCCCTATTCACCTGAAATTATCATGCCAATGACTCTTTACTGGTCAAATTTTGAGAAGTCCTATTAAAATGCAAGTGAGAGAAATTAAAATGTTAACTTATGGGTTTATGATACCAATATGAGGTTCCTGGGAAATCTCCTTTAGAGCAAGATACTGAATGTAGCCATGAAAGTCACCAAATCTCTCTGTATCGCTGTACATCTCCCTGATGTTTTCTGTCTTGATGATCACTATCGTGTCTGGGCTTCTCCAAAGAAGACGCTGAACACCTTTGCGGATTGTGTTAGACAGGGTTCTCTAGAGAGATAACACCAAATTGGTGATAATTTAATCTATTTATTTATAAAGATAATTAGATATATAACACAAGAAATGAACTGTTAAATTATATACAGATAGATATATACTACAAGAAAAAAACAGTTAAATTATAAAGCAGTACAAAGGGCTCAGTGCAACTTACTCCCGTGAGAGAGAGTTGTGAGACACTAGCAGTCCTTCAAATCTCATCTGCTGCCAGGTCTTCCTCTATATATAGAGAGAGTTAGGCTGTCTCAGCACAGCAGCCAATCACAAGGCAGGTCACCAACTGTCAGCTAGGTCACCAACTGCCAGTCCCCGGCTCCAGAGATGTCTTAAAGGGACCTCAACTTACAGCGACACAGTCCACAGGCTAGGGGTCCCACAGGTAGTGTAGCCTGTAAATCGAGGCACAGAACAAGCAAGGTAGCCGCACACTGGTCCGATGATCAAAGAGCGAGAGACAAGAAAGGCGAGGCTCACCAAGCCATTTATCTCTCCACCCTTCAGTTAATCCCATTTGTGTTTATCGGCCAGGCTGACACAATAAACTATGTCATGGATGTTGAGGACTCTTTGAATAAAAATGTCAATGGGAAAGGGTCTAAAATGCTGACCTAGAGAAATTACAATGATAGTACTTTTTCCTCCTCCAATTCTATCAATGACCCAGGCCATGTACTCAGTCTCTTTGACTGAATACATTAATGATCCAACCAAAAGGTAACTGTTTTTACCACTGGATGTTATATTCTTATCCAAGTCCACAGCAAGTGGATGTTGAAATTTTCCGGATACGTGCAGATCCACTGACTTCAGTGCTGTTGATACAGAATCCCAGAATCAAAGGAGAACAGGTCATCAGGTTGAGGACTGACTAGTCATGAAGATAGATGAGATTTTGTTTTTCAAGTTCAAGAGGTTGACCATGTCTGATTTATTATAGTTTAAATAAAAGAATAGCTTTGAAAGCTTTTTAAAAAAAAAATCACATAGCTATTGATTATTGGGAAGTCCCTGGGTAATTCAAACAGCTAACACACTTGGCTAAGAAAGAGCAGGTGACCTACTTCCATCTATCATTGAAACTTTATGATGAGCACTTTGAGGTCTTTATACATTGACTTGATCTGACTGTGGCACCTTTCTTTTTATTATTGCTAATTGAGCACTCTGCCTTGAGATGTATTAAATATTTTATAGTTATGGCCTCATCTAATCTTCTTAAAAACCAGCAGATACTGGTATTAATCCTAGTTGACTGGCGAGGAAAGTGTGACAGAGAAATGAAGTAAGATATCGAAGATCAAGGTGTCTCAGTGGCACCGTAACCGACTCCCTTTTAGCCAAAGTGCAATATCATCATCTTCCTCCTGGTGTCTGCCCTCTCACTGAATAACAATCATGACAGCTTACGTTGGTAGGGGATTTATCTACATCAAACTGTATTCCAAGGAGCTTAGCCTGAATTATACTGTGATCTTCTCTTTGAAGTATTCCATCCACTGGTGAATTGTGGAATCTCCCATGAGATAGATGAATTCCTCTTCCCGGCATGCTTTCATGTTGATGGAGTCCAGCTACAGGAGGCAGGATTCCATGTGTCTTCCCAGACATACCCACTGGGGACTGAGGGTGTCATGTCAAGCTTGCATTTCTCTCTCCTTTGGCCTGCTTTCTCTGCCAAATAATCAGCAAGACACGATCTTCTCAAACGTAGAATTACCAATATGCATTTACTAAGCACAAAGTATCTTTTGTAGGTACCTTTTTAATAGGGATGAAGGGGACTGTAGTGGAGGAAAAGTTTTATTGATGCATCCTGTTAAAGGGATAGCTATTTTTCAGTTAAAAACAAAACAAACAACAAAAAAACTCTGAAGTTAATGTTTCAAATGATCATTCATATTGATCATGGTAAGAGCAGATGTTTGCTTCCAGAATAGGGAAATGTGGCCTTCTGGGTAAATTCTATAATATCTGGTGGCCCTTGTATGGGAATAAAATCATCAACTCTTGCTTAGTAAGGAGCACTCTATTCCACTATCATTTTCGCCAGGTTTCCCGTAGGTTGTCATATGCTGTTATAGTCTCTTAAAAGTCACATTCAAATTACCAATCTTAGAGTTAGTGTTAGGTTGTGGGGAAAAAAACAACGCAAATCCAAACAAACAAGACAAAAGACTGGTCTGGCTCGAGAACTGGATGCGGTTGCTTTAGAGGCAATCTTTGAGGCCCCAGGTGTGCCTGGCCCCGACCTGTCTGTCTTGGTTTACGAAGCGTTTGAGAGGATGGTGCAGAGCCCTTGGTGACTTAGAGCATTGCTTATTCGCCTACCAAAGAGAACTAGTTTAATATTCTAACACCTGATACGAGTGCATTTCAGTGTGAATACATTTCATGTATCTCAATGTGAATACATTTATTACTGATCTGTAAGTTGTTTGTGCTGAACTTCAAAGGACGCAAGCATTTTAATTTAGTTCACTCCTGTGAGAAGTCAAAGAAATCGAAGAGATTAGTAAAATACCAGCGAAATTATCGGTATGTGTTAAAATAGCTTGAAAAACAGCGAAAATGAAGAGTGGTTTTGAACTGCTGGGCAGGTTATATGTTTCTTCATGAGCAGATTGATAGTGAAAGATACAGTTTCTGAAGTAGGTTTATGGTATAGTAGAGTTTACATTTATTCACTCACTTAAATAACTAGTACCTTGGCCTACCTTAGACAAGCTAGATTGTCAATGTACCTACAGAACTAATGATAGCAAACAAATTCATCAAAAAGAGGGAAGCCTTTTTCAAGAGCTTTAATACTAAGCACAGAGGGCAGTGGCCTGATCCCCTTGTGTATGGACTCATCAGAAGCTGGAGGCCAACATGATAACAGCTATCAACAATGACAACAGGACTAAGCGCTGCTTTTACCAGGCACTGGAGAAATGCTGTCACAGTTGGAGACGCGAATGGCGTTGAAGCTTTCCATAATCTCTATCCCCACATTTGGCCTTAAACAGACAAATAAAGAAATCAGTACGTAGGGAGCCCCAGCTACCAGGAAATAAGAGACTGCACAGCTTTAGTTATTTCTTGGTGATAAGTTAGTCACTCTGCCCACAGATTCAGAGCATTTTGTAAAATGTAATTTCTTAGCTTATCGGTACATGGGATACAGACATCCAGTTGGTGTGCCAGGTAATTTCTTAAGAAGCAGAAAGACGCTATCGTTGTCATTCGGTGTCATCAAGGTGGTCCTACTCATACTGACCCAATTTGGGACAGAAGAAAACAACGCCGAGTCCTGCACTATCCTCACCATCATTGTTGTTTTGAGCTCATTGTTGCAGCCTCTGTGTTAACCCATTTTTTTTGAGGGGCTCCTATTTTTCACTGCATCTTCCACTTTACCAAGCATGATGCGCTTTTCCAGAAAGAATGTACAACCATCTATTCTCGCCCTCTTTTAATTCTTATTTCTGTTTCTCAATGATTAGGGCAGTCAGTTGTTAAACTATTTGAGTCCTACCACTGGTTGGATCCTTTCACCATATGTACTCTATCTGTATGCTGAGCAAATAATCTGAGAAGCTGGACCATCTAAGGAAGTACCTGGCATCAGCAGTGGAGGAAGGTTTGTTTACAGGCTACAATATACAGATGATCCATCCTTGCTTGCTGAAAGTGTGGAAGTCATGAAGCACTTGCTGATGAAGATCAAGGATTGAAGTCTTCAATATAACTACAACTCAATGTAATGAAAACAAACAAACAAATTTCTCATAACTGGACCAATAGGTAACATTAAGAAAAATGGAGAAAAGATTGAAGTTGCCAAGGACTTCATCTTGCTTGGATTCACAATCAATAGTCAGGGAGGCAGTGATCAATAAAAGGACGCATTACCTCGGATGAATCTGCGGCACAAGACCTTTTTAAAATGTTGAAGAGTAAGGACATTACTTTGAAGACTAACGTGTACCTTACCCAAGCCATGGTATTTTCACATGCATGTGGAAGTCGGACAATGACTAAGAAAGATCAAAGAAGAATCGATGCATTTGAATTCTGGTGCTGGTGAAGAATACTGAAGTACGATGGACCGTCAAAAGAACAAACAAATCCGTGTTGGAAAAAGTCCAACCAGACTGCTCCTTAGAAGGGAGGATGGTGAGACTTTACTTTGTCTCATGTGCTTTGGACACGTTTTTCAGCAGAGAGCAGTCCCTGGAAAAGAATGTCATGCTTGGTCCAGTAGAAGGTCAGGGTAAAAGAGGAAGCTGCTCGATGAGATAGATTGACACCATGGTTGCAATGACGAACTCAATCGTAACCACGGTGTGAGGATGGTGCAGGACTAGGCAATGTTTCCTTACATTGTGCTTTGGGTCATCAGGAGTCACTAGCAAACTGACTCCACCTAACAACAACATTGATATAGCGACAGGACTTTCACTTGGCTGTATCATATTTGACCAAGTAGTCTCTAGAAATAAAGACTTACATTTCAAAGAGGCATCTTTCTTATTCACTAAGATAAGAACCTTCCATGTTCTTGGAGGGCATGTGGGAGAGTGCAGCACAGGGTATGTGCTGAGGTTTCAAACAGTAGAAGCCTTCTTGGTCTTGAGGATCCAACACTCGAATTTAAAACTAGGCTACACTTAGTGTTGGCATGCAAGGTGCTAGTGGAAAACTGGGCAGTGAAAATCACTTTGTTGTAGCCTTGGCTCCTTGCCCTCCACAGGGTGGCCACCCCTTCATTGGGTTAAGCAACAGGGACAGAGACACCGGGCCTCCCCAGAAGAGAGGGAATTGAACAAGGTAGGTGCCATTGTAGAAGTTGGTCACTTCTCCTGAAGCACCTGCCCTCAGGGCGGGGGAAGTCATCCTGGCCCTCAGGAAATCCCCACCATACTCCTTCCTGTGCCCCAGGTGGTCCCTCACCTCCAGCAGGAGGTCTAGATGTTCCCTGGCACAGTAGGTATCTTGAGGGTTGAGAATGGTGACTCTGCTGTGTGCTGCACAAGACCTCTTTAAAATGTTGAGGAGTAAGGATGTTGCTTAGACCACTAGGGTGTACCTGACCCAAGCCATGGTATTTTCAGTTGCTTCCTATGCATGTGGCACTTGGACAATGAATAAGGAAGATCAAAGAAGAATCGATGTATTTGAATTTTGGTGCTGGTGAAGAATATTGAAGTACCATAGTGATGTTGTTCATGTGGGGGAAAGGCTGGAGGTGAGGGGGAATCAGTTGGTGTAGTTTCTTCATGATTTCCTTTATTCTTAGGTTAGTCTCTGTTGGGGAGTCTCAGTGGCACCTCAGGGAGTGGGTAATTTGTGATGAAATTCTAGTGATTGAGGGAAATGAACAATGTAACCATAGTACCAAACTGAAATAATAAGGAATATGATAGAGAATACAGAAAATTTCCCTATTTAATATACTTATTTTGGGTGGATTAGCCATCTTCAATCTTTTATTGAATACTGAAGGGATCAAACAATAAAATGTTGAAATTTTATAATCATGTATATGTCATATGAAAAAAAATTTCCTTAGAAACTCTTGGGGTATAACTCCACTTCTAACTGGTTCATTTGTTTTAGACAAGTCATGTAATCTCCCCCAAATCCTAAAATAATTTTCTTTAAAGTGAGATGAGAAAGTCTATTTTATTGGGCATTTGTGGAGATCAAATGAGAAAGTGTTTTTATTGCCTAGCAGAGCATCGCTTTTTATTGTTCTTTTTCATCTGAAAACTAAGATTCAGTAATTGAAAACAAATCTTGAGAAACTGTTAAAAATGCATGGAACTTCTTTGCCTTTTAAATATGAAATGTCGATAATTGTAATCTTTTGTATTTTGTATAAACATTATATGAGTTTGTATAAACATTATATGAGTTTTAAAACAATTTTTCAGATTGTTTTTGTTCCTGTAGGATATAACAGAAGCATTAGTTTATAAAAATATTTGTCTTTTTCTATTTATAAATAAAACTGATTTTTTATTAAAAACTAATAACATTAAAACTTTGTAGGAAGAAAAATCACATATGATCATGTCAACCAATGATAATTACTGTACAAATTTTGGTAATTTCTCTCATTATTTCTATATCATTTTACAAAGGACTGTGAGCAAATTGACTATTTACCATCACGTTTTGATTTTTTAAAAAAAGTTATCATTAAAAATGTTTGATCTAAGTTTGAAAAGTCACATAATATTCCTGCCTCTGGGTGTAGCTAGATAGCTTATCTTTCCTAGCATTTTTGAACTTTCTTTTCTTATAGATCTCTGAGAAACCTTTTTGGTGTCAGTCCTTTTTTTTTTTTTTTTAAGCAATTCATGTTATTTCTACAGAATCTCAAAAATAGAATTATTGGTAAAATGGGTGAGTATTAATAAAAGTCTTGACATAAGTTGTGAAATTGTTTCCAGAAACAAATTGCACCCAATCCATCAATGTACGGGAATTCCCATCTTACTGCATGATCACAAATCTAGATAGCTCAATTCTAGAAATATTTTCCTGAACTTGAAATCCTCCTGTGCCACTGGCTACAAATGTGGTCCTGGTCGAGTGTCTAGATTTCATCATCTAAATCCTGGGCTCATAAAAATAAACTTTATCTATCCTGGGAACTAGGAGCCCTAGTGTCATGGTTCCACATTGAGTGGCGATCCATAAAGGTCAACAGTTCAAAACCACCACCCAGGTCTTCGGGAGAAAGACAGGCCTTTCTACTATTGTAAACAGTTACAAGCCTGGAACCTCATAGGAGTAGTTCTACACTCTCCTATAGGGTCACTATAAGTTGACTTTGAATTGATGGCAGTGAGTTGCTTTTTTGGTTTTAATTCTGGCAACTAGGAAGAGAAGACTTAATTGGGTCAGAATTTATGAGGAATGTCTGAAAAACAAATTCCTCATATGTGAGAACTAATGAGCTAACATGAAATGCATTTCAAAAAGTACCTGGTACATATTAAGTGTTATTTTTATACTAATATAAAAATATAAGAAGGTTAGACCAGAGGATGCACAGCAGTACAGATGGGAACTAGAAATGCAGGGAATCTAGGACAGATGAACCCCTCAGGACCAGAGGTGACAGTGGCGATACCGGGAGGGAGTAGAAAGGGGGAATTGATCACAGGGATCTGCATATAACCTCCTCTCTGGGGGATGGGCAACAGAAGGGTGGGTGAAGGGAGACGGCCGGGCAGTGTAAGATAAGATATAATAGTAATTTATAAATCATTAAGGGTTCATGGAGGAGGGGGGAGGGAAAAGGGGGGAGGGGAAAAAGGAAAATGAGCTGATTCCGGGAACCCAAGAGGAAAGCGAATTTTGAGAATGATGAGGGCAACAAATGTATAAGTGTGCTTTACACACTTGATCTATGTATTGTGATGAATTGCATGAGCCCCAATAAAATGATTTTTAAAAAAGAAAGTAAATATCTAGAAAAGAACGATGGCAACATGTTCAAATATGTCTGATACAATTGATGTATGGATTGTAATAAGAGTTGTAAGAGCCCCCAATAAAATGATCTTTTAATAAAAAAAATATAAGAAGTCCAAACTTACATAAAATATTTTAATTTGAACTGCAAACCCAGAAATAAAATCATCAGCATAGAGACAATTGATCTTTGATAAGGGCCCTAAAAATATCAAATGGGAAGGAGATGCCCTCTTCAACAAGTCGTGCTGGAAAAAATGGATATCTACCTGAAGAAAAATGAAGCAAGACCCACAAAAATAAATTCAAGCTACATCACAGACCTCTACGTAGAACCCCAAACTATTAGGGCCATCAATGAGGGAATTAGGAGCAACCTGAGAACTTTGACACAGGGAATACATAGGCTATCAGAAATAGGGAAGGGCATAAACACAGAGGAGGCACAAATTGACAAGTGGGATATACTGAAGATAAAACACCTGTGTACATCGAAAGAATTCATCA